CGAAGAGACTGGAAGAACCCGGGTCAACAACACCCTATATATCGGCCGCAGAAACAGCACATCAATTCTCTCAGCTACAGCTGCATAGAAGAATCCCCCGCACACCCTATCAGATTACAAGACACCAGAGTGCAAAACACATATTATTCACGTAACCGAATGTCCTCCGGACTACCGAGCCCCACAGTCACATACGGCGACGCTAGATCGAACCTGATTGCTATCTACGGGCCAGATCCAGGTGCTCTGCAGCATCCTGCTAAACTGCACCCGGAGATATCATGTTCCTGCCTGTATATAACGTCCCTCATATAGCTCTTCAAGTCACACACACCACCTAGAGCCACCCAGCAGGGACAGTTTCGATGGCTGTCTCAGGCCACATGGGCCCAGCACCTAGATCATTAAGGCATCTGACCATAGAGAGGCGGGGCGAAATCAGACAACACAAGCTCAGGCTGAATGGATGATGAGCATTGAAACTGCCAATCAACAAGATGTGGACTGACACCCTATCAAAACGATACATACTAAATGTATTCCTGCAATTATCTGAGTAGGCAAGCTCAGGCGCAAATTCTAACCACGAAGTTGAAACAAACATCTAGCCTACATGCGCTTGTGGGAGACTTTCCTTAGTAACCCCTACAAAGTAACTTCAAACATAAGGTCAACCTTCCTAACAGTATCGCGCGCAGTACACCATTACCACGCCTGTATAGTATAAGAATCAATGAGATTGTTTAAATTGTAACCAGAACCCGTATTTATTTCCCTCACCTTCACATTTACGACCCCGTAACAATAGTTGTATTGCATTTTCATTGTCACCGAACCTATATTATTTTTAAACTATCATATATATACTTAAATCAGTCATCTAATTACTGATTGACACAACACTGCACCATGCGGCAAGGTCTTCTAGATACTTTGTCACCACGAACTTCACAGACCAACCTTCCACATCCCTATCTCAAACCATAAGTCACTGAGTACACTTCGGTTTTTCGTGGCTATTGATCCTCCTTACTCATTGCTGACAAATCAAGAGCTAGGCATGACCCTATTTGTCTCGTACACCTTCGCCTCCATCAGGCTTGGCCTCTACCCACGCTAAGCTTCAGTACTTATCCTAACAATCTGGCATCGATAAGAACGACTACCTAGAAACTCCCTTAAGGGAAATTTGACAATGCTTGGCTGCTGCAGAACTACGCAGTCTATAACGTACGATACGCGTCAACTTAACACTATACAAGTCTGAGCTAATAATTACAAACAGGCTTCATAATGTTAGCATGATTGACAGCGTTTCGCAAGACGTTCATGTGGCTCCGCCATACAGCTACCGGAAGGATGCGACTGTTGATCTGACCATCACGACCTGCTCCCTTTTTTTCACGAGGCGCTTCATTAGGTTTAAGCTGTGAAGAAAGGGACGGTTCTCCTACATTCATGCGGTATTAGAACTGCGCCACAGTGAGATGCACGTAGTAACTGGCATGCTTTATACCTGATTTAGAAATTTACTGTCCGGGTACTACAAAGGGTTACAACAGTCCAGTTGTGTGCATTCCAACTAATAGAGGTCGGTTCCAGATCTTCTACCCTCTCGACACTAAGGGGAAAAGAATCTCAACATCCTCATGGTATCAACACTCTAAAACCTCTAATGAAGTCCAAAAGGCTTTACGAAAAATAGTATGTGAGCATGTCCTCACGTTCACTTACATCTGGATCGCATGTATCATACATTGGCAATCCTTCCTTGCTGTCACGTCCCTGCGGCACTACCAATCCTACTCTACAGTTACTAGCTGCTAATGCCACAAACTGCCTTCTAAAGTGAAAAAACCCCACACCACGACTGTGACACACACGCCTCCAAGCCGTTGTGCACTGCTACAGTTACTGTAAATCAGCGAAGGGCGTTTACATCAGCATTTAAATGGTAACCATAACTATAAAACCGCAATAATAAAGGCAATGTCTCATACAGAAATACATCCATAACTCGCACATTATCACTACATGACAGATCAATACTAACCACGTAAGGGCTTGCATCTGTGTATATCTAGGATCTCCGCTGAACAAAACGACCAGAAGCGTAGAGATGGTAAAAACTTCCGGCTGCTCTCCACACCTCGTCCATCATGAAATCAAGCCCAGCCCCTCCAGCCAGCTCTTTGTTCACCAACAGCCACAAAAGACTGTGAGGATATTCAATTTACTACAAACCAGTCAGACGAGAACAAAAACGCAGACATTATCTCACCATTCCGCCGCGAGGGAAGTCCTCGGATAACAACTAAAAACCATCATCGCACATTGAAATAATATGTTGCAGCGTTCAAGTACACACAAAGTACGATATAAGAATCGGATAAATTTACATATAAGTGTAGATGGTTGCGCGATCGGAGGTGTTCGCAAGATGGGGAAACCACAGAAATTCTGGTAACAACGTAGTGACGAGCCCATCCAAAGTATGTTCCTAATACCAGATAGCTTCCCATACAAATGGCACACTAACACTTAACATACAAGCAATGTCAGATATATAAAGGGAGGACACCAATCGTGTAACAGGCAAACACAAATAAATCTACATATGTAAATCAACCAAAGTCTCCACAACTCACCAATCTTAATTCGTCAACAATTAATTATAAAGGTGGGTTTATTCCCTGAACACTAGGGTGACCACCAGACAAGCTGCTAATCTTTTTGATTAAATAGGTATATAAAATAAGCATTGATACAAGAATATACTGTATGCAGGTGATAGTTTATCAGTTGTTCCAGGTTAAAATGACATATTTCTTTGTATAGTTATTACTCATGCCTCACTTTCTCCTTGCCTTATCCTTTTTTGTGTGTTGGGTTGGGTTCTTATCGTGACAATACATGAACATATTCAGCATACAAACTCTCCTTCTGAGCTCCTTTCTGCAGCCCTTCCTCCACCTGAGATCGTCTGACTTTCTCTCCTTTTATTTTAAAACCCTCTTATCAGAGTTCATGATCCACTTTTTTCTACCACGCGGTGAGTGTGCATAGATCTCCTGCTTGTTTTGGGAACCCTGTATATCAGGAATATCTGGCATTTGCTTTTTAAACTGTTGTTCAGGAACCAGCATTCCTCCTTCGCATGGTTGAACCAACCGATGTCTGCCAGATATATTTATTGAGAATAAGAAATGTCACCGTGACAACAGCGGACAGCATGACAAAAGGAGTGAGGCGAGCTCTAATTAAACAATCTTCCATGTTTTAAAAGATACTAGATCTTCCACTCTGATGCAATATCATCCTTATCAATCTGTGCGATTGTTTGATTGGCCGACAGGGGAGGCCCAGTATGATTACAGGAGGCTGTCGGGGTGAGTGAAAGAGCATTAGCTCACAGGCCGAATACCAAACCCAGCCTATATTTTGTCTGCGGGGGAGGCAATTTCTTGAAGAGTTTAAACGTATTCAAGAGGGAATCATGTGCGACGATGCCATGATTGATGCGCTTCCCCTAGTATTATCATTGTAGTGTGGACACCAATCTAAGATGCTAAGATACATGAAGCTTGGCCCCCTTTGCCCCGAGACATGTACGGGTTGCGAGTTAGCCTATGTCGTGTAATGATTTAAGATTGCAGCCGAGTAAAGTCCTCCCAACAGCTTGCGAGTGGAGCCAATGTGTTCTACCAGAGACAAGATACCACAAACCCAACCAAGAAATAAGCATGCCCTGGCTGGAAGCACCCAACCCTGTCAAAGTAAAAAGAACTAACTCAGGGCATGGATCGAAATGTGGCACAACTTTTAACTTAATCCCCGGCGACGCGAGGCCTCGCTTGTTTATTAATACCCTTGTCTGTGTAAGAGAATGCCGAAAAAATGCCACAGCAGCATTAGAACAAAACAGAAAAGTTTCTACGTGGGTTAGAAGCACCTTCTGTGGGAGCAGCCGCGCTGCGGGCCCATAGATATATAGTTTAATAGGGTGCGTCAGGCTGTAGTTATATGGCGATGCGAGTGCTGTGGGCAAAGGTAGCAGAACACAGCAGAGCAAACACATCGAGCACACAGAGCGACAGGCGACACGAAGTCAACCCCTTCATTCTGACTTGTGTTAAGCAATTTTTGCTTAATAAACGAGGTGCAAGCTCTTAACGCAGGCAATCTGCTGAGGACAAGATCACGGCAGCACACGCCACAACCACGGGATGAAGGTGAATTGACCTGATTCCCATCGGAGCCAGTGGATTGATTGATTAAACCACCGGTTGAAAGTTACATGTGTAAGCTGTGCGCGCGAGTGTGTCTGGCAAACGCTGTGTGATCTCCAGCCTGGCAGCTTTTGTATAAGGGCCACACAGGACGGAAATGAGCAAGCACAGAGGAAAGCCAGGGGAAAAAGCGTGGGGTAGGTTGGGTGTTCCGCGGATACTTATTTGTAGCTCCCACAGACATCCCACCCGTCTAGTATTGATACATATTCCAAAAACATAAGAGTTGACACATATAAAAGGAACAGATAAATGGCAAGAGGAAGGTAGGTGGCAACTGAGCGGTTTCTGCTGTGCCAGAGCAGGTTTCATCACAACATTGATACCCAAAGCGCAGGAGCAAAGCCAGATTGAAAAGAACCACTCGTGCTCGCTACATGGGAGCAGACACACTAGGCACCACTGAAAAATTACGGGCTTAAAGGTGAGCTAGAAGACACCAGCTCATTCATTCATTCATTCATTCATGCATTTTACAGGGGAAGGCGGACTAGCCAAACGGACACACTGAATGTCAGCAACACAGCAGCAAGCCAACACCAAAAAAAAAAAAAACCCCACCGACAAACTTTTAAACTCACCACAGAACTCAGAAAATAACAGAAGAGCCTCCCCACACAATGAAAACAAAGGCGCGGTACACAAAACCTTTCATTTCAAGTCAAACATCAGCAGTGTTGAATGGTGAAATACGTCCTGAAGTGACATTACCAGCAGTTGTGCTGGAAGCGACTATCCGTCGGACTGCTTCCTGGCCGTCGTTTCCATGTTGTGTTTGTTTCCTTTGTTTACAGGTGAAGAGTGCGCGCGAGCTCACCTGCGCCCATCGCCCACACTGCACGAGCGCAGACTCTTCCGGGACTTTCTGGTGAGGCTACCGAAATACAAATACAGCGCGAGCGATACGCGCACGTGACGGAGTAGGTGAGGTGATATGTGTCCCGAGGGCATCGCGTCTGATCGTATTATAATGAAATACATACATGATAACAAGGTGATACAACAGTGTTAATGGGCTTTTCGAGCTGTTCACAATAATAGGAATAAACACACTTTTGGTATTTGTACTATTTCTGTTGTGTGCTTCTTTATATTTGCACATTTCAGAGGAAAATACTGTATTTTTTTTTATTTTTT